GCGGGGGCTCAAGTTCCCGTCCTGGGGGTCACGAAGGGCCCCACTGGGGAGCGGCCCCCACGCCCTGAGCCCCTCCCCGACTCCCCGCGCTGAGCGAGGGCCGATCTGGACGCTGCGGGAGCAAAGCCCCAGCAAGAGCGGCCAGGCCCTGCCCCAGTTCCTGGCACGCAGAAGACGGGGCGGCTCGGCGAGGGTCGGGGTCTGCGCTGGAATCAGGGTCGAGGGTCCTACGCCAAGGCCGCGGCTGCGAACGCCTAGGTCGGGTGGGAAGCTGCGCGGGGGTGCACTGCCGGCACACGGGGTGCGGACAATCACGACATCATGCCTCAGGATCCTTCCCCGATGTACCAGAGGTTGCTTTACGGCGGCCCCACGTCGCACGCCTGCCCGCGGACCATGTCGGAGACAGTGTACCCCTCCGCCACCATCTCCGTCGCCTTCGCCGCCGCCGCCGCTGCCGCCACCACCGCAACCGCCGCTCCCGCCTCCATGGAAACCGACGCGGACGCCACCGGCGCCGCCAACGCTCTGGGCTGGCCCCTCCGCGGCCGCCGCTCGGCTCAAGCTGCGACTGCCAAAGGGACCGCGCCGCTGCCTGTGCAGCCGCCGCCGTTGGCAGGCTGAGGAGGAACAGCGGCGCTCAGAACAGCTCGGGGCCGCTGGGAACGACTGCCTCCTGCCTGCCGGCCTGATCAAGGGGCGGGCCGGCGGTCGGGCCAAGGGCGTGGCCGAGGAGGGCACGGGGGCGGGGCCGGGCTGTGTGCACGGGGAGTGGCTCCTTCGGCCAGGGGGCGGGGCTGCGCGCTCAGGGCCAAGACACCTGTGAGAACTGGTATTTACTCTGATTTGCATTCTCCCCTAAGAGTTCTTCCTGACAAACTTGAGCAGTATTCACAAGAACAGCTCGCCCAGCAGCGACAGCATTGGATGAGATGTCTGTGTTCCCCTGGAGTGGGTAGGAGCCTGTATCCAGGCTGATGGGTGTGGATGCTTCAGTCTCCCAACTTGGGAGCTGGCCTAGAGCCCACGGTGTCAGAGCAGGGGAACTGACCCGCTCATATAGTTCAGATGAGCCATCATTGAGGGACAGGAGCCCAGCAGGGAAGCAGACCACTGCTGTGTCCCAGAACTCCCCTCCCCCCCAATCTGGCTAACCTTCATCACAGCGTGTGCTGTCCCACCTCTCCAGTCTTTCCATCTCACCCCAAATCACATACTCTGATCTTTCTTGGACATTGCTTGGCTATTATCCCTGCTTCCCCCCTGGACATTGTGCATTTTCCAGTCTCGGAGTTCAGATTCCCAGGCAATAATAAAGGTTGGGTGAGTGGGTCATTGAGGGGTACGGGGTGAGGAATGTGGGCTTTTAAGATTCGCTATACGATTTCACTCAGGTGCTTGACCTGAAGGCATCCATTTCCTGAAGGGGACAGGGCAGAGGAGGTGCCGGACAGCCTGTGAGGGGTCCGTACAGTCTAGCAAGTCACCGAGGGATCTCTCATGGAAGCAATGGTTCCAGTGGGGCCCTGACATTGCCCTTCATTTTGCAAGGACCAGCAAAGGTCACGTCACCCCGGGTCAAGGCCTAGCCGAAGGCAGTGTTTATGCCCGGAGCCTGTCAGAACAGGGGTGCTGGCATGGGGGTTGCAAGGCGACATGGAAGATCTTGCTTCTGATGTACCTGTCTCCCTTTCTCTCATCTTGCCTTGATATGGTTTCAACAAATAATTTAAAAAGTATACAAAAGAAAGAGACTTTAAATGCAATGAAGACCAAAAAAAAAAAAACACCGAAAAACAAAACAAAACAAGACTGAGTGTAAGGAACAACTTCTTTGCTCTGAGACAGTTCAGACAGTGAGAACAAAATGATGGTTCTGGCTTCACTGTGAGGGGAGGGCTCCCTGCTGGAAGCTCAGAAGTGAGCGCTTCGGAAAAGTTAAGATGCCTGTCGGGACATGACTCCAGGCACATAATGCTTCACTTCCCAGTGCCCAGTCTTCTCTTAAAACCCGGCTGTTACACTGGGAGATTGCTGATTCACTGACTGGCAGTTTACTTTTATTTTGGATGATTGGGTAGTTTAATAAATATTATTTTGGTCAAAGAATGCATCTGTCAGCTTAGAGTTGATGGGCCTACAGTTGCTGTTGAAAAAGACATTCATTTGCTAATTTCTGTTAGTTCTTACTAACTTCTAGCATAATAAATGCCATTTGTATGGTCTAAAAGGGTTAAAAAATTTTTGCTCCATTTTTGGTTAATAGGGATAACTGTACACATTTAAAAATACCTTCAAATAAATAATTTCTCTTTTCTAACCAAGGTGTCACCTCTGAATACTATTCTTATCTACACCATTTGAGATGGTTCAAGCTTTTTACCCTAAAGCTTGGTTTATTCCTAGGTATTGGCTTCTGTCCCAATGAAAATGTGTGACCCTAGGCTTGTTTACATGTAAAGACGTGGCCATTCCACACGTGAAAAAGAGATAAAAATATAACTCTGCAGGTTCAAATGAAGCCAGAACAGAAACCAAATTTTTCCTGGCTTAAATCAACAGCATCACAGCCTTTTGATTTCACATGTACATTTTACGCGAATGTATTTGGTTGAAGGCCCAAACTGAAATTTTCATTTCTATATTCTCATCTGTTACTTTAAATTACAGTGTATTTGTAATTATTAATTTGGCTTAAAGACAAAGATTCACTGGCAGTTTTCAAAGGCATTAGTCCAAGGGAATTTGGATATATAATTTAGGTATTAAACATACTCATTGTAAAAATAGTATGAATTCACACTGAGATTTCCCCATCCTATACAAAATGTTGTATTTCAAGCACTGTAACTATATTGAACTAAATTCTATTTGATCATACTAAAAAAATACTACTTGATCATCGTACATCAGTGTAAATATAGAATTTAGTGAGAAGTAAATAAAAAGCATAATTTCAGCTTTCAGATGACTTACATAGAATTAAAATGTTCTTAAAATAGCTAGAAGTATTCCAATTTCACAATAATTTCTTGATATTACACCAGTTATAAGAAGCCAGTTAGAGAGATTTTAGCTCAACAAGAATCTAGAGAATTTTCATCATAAATTGTCCCTACACAGGAATGGGGCACTGTTTTGGCATTACGAGTTCCCTTTTCTAGAGACGTCTCAATGAAGAAAGAAGAAATTTATATTTTTATTATATAACATATTTTCATTTCAAGTTCTTAAACAACAAAATCTTAACACCAATGTAGGCAATGTTAGTTACAACGGACTCAGAATAAAGAATATCCATCTCTTTTATAGACTGTGACTCTTGAAAGTGCTCTAAAAACACTATGAGTTTCATTAGCAGCAAAGCATTAGCCTAATGGAAACCTCCCTCCTCCCCTTACATGTGTATGTACGTATACACATACTATAGGTCAGTATCTTCTATCGGTCCAACTTAAATCTGACAATTGTTCTCAGAGGCTGTGAAAGGTTGCAAATACTGTCTACGCTGTCGTAGAGTTCAAGACCACTAGCACCCGAGTGGTTAAGAGAAAACCAATCGTTTCATTAAAGCAAACAAAAAGCCACAAAATCATATAGTCTGAATTTCTTTTAAGAGCAGAAAAATGGAGGGCTCAGTGAATCACCCAATATACTAACTGTTCTGGGTCCTATAATTTTATCTAAAACTGTTTTTTATACATGGAAGTCTAGATGCCTTTACATAAATAGTTTCAGCAATTCTAAAAATATAAAATATTCCTTTGAAAAATAGGACAAGTTTTGTTTTGTTTTGTTTTGAAGTTGGAGAACAGTTTGGTGAGGAGTGGGTTTCCTTCTCACAGATGAATTTTGCAGCATCCTTCCCCCAGGAGCATGCTGACAGCTCCGTCATCCTGCACCTAAAGCACCCCCGGGATGGGCCTCTAGGAAGGGGCCGTGCCGGCACCGAGGAAGGCTGGTCTTTTCTCTTCCACACTACTCTAGCAGCTCCCCATCCCTGGGCATCTTGCAGTAGTGCCTCATGTCCAGAACTTGAACTTGACTGGGAAAACCACATCCATTTAAAATGCAGCATTTTCATCTGTTGGTTGGGTGATTCTTTTTGCCCCAGGGATAGGAGTGATATCTGGAAGAGTCAGAAGTAGAAAGAGTTAGCTACAGCCTCAAGTGTTTTAGTTCACACATTCAATTTCAAAAGCAGCAGCTCAGGTATATAAGCAAGCAAATCACATGGAATCAAAATGTGATTCTAAACAGGACAGAATGGGGAGATTGTCAGAAAGCTGCCTTTTGCTGAAGTTCACTTCTAATACTATCTTTCTCAAACTATAAAATCAGTGGGAGATAATAACCTTTTAGAGTGGAAAAATCACCTCTCCAAAGTAGCCTGTATCTTAAATGCCTATTTCACATGTTCAACAGTTAACTGGAAGGAAAATCAATGCAAGCTGATTCAAAGTACTTTTTAAAAAATTTCAACACATATTTCATTGTCACAAAATAAAATGTTAACGCATATCCCTAAGTATATGACGATGATATACTGGTCATCTCTTCACTTACAAAACGCTTTTACTCTCACAAACAACGCTGATCAATTCAGGTGTGCCAGGCAGTAACCTTCCGGTAAGGAAGTGAACTGTTATGTGTGTTCCAGATGTAATTAATGAGACAAGCCTGCAAATGATCAGGACTAAAGCCCTCCTGGGGCTGGTCCAGCTTGTTTGAACCCTGTTTCATTTTCTTACACAGCTGTCTTCAGTTCAACTCCATACTACCCCCTCTTCCCAAAGCCCTCATTCTGGCTAGGGTCCCTCACTGATGTTTCTGTTTCTGCTACCATTTTCTTTAACAAATGCAGCAGTTTGTGCTTGAGACATTCTCCTACATC